TTCAACATTTTATTTTTGTCCCAAGAATTTTGTTTTTTAGGAATGACTCTCTGGATTAAATGTTTACTTCCAACATCCTAGCTCATTTAATGTCAAAAAGACAAAAGGACAGCAGACAAAAGGATGTGTCAGGTGAATCTATTTGCACTCTCTTTAAAATAAGTATTTCCAAAACTTAACGCAAGCCTGCTGTTGAAGTACGTCTCTGACAAAAGCTAAACCAGTGTCAGTGTGTACCAACTTCCCTCCCACCTCCACCTAGCCCCCAAATTCAATTGACCAACTAACTGAATATTGGAAATTTTTTGTTCCTGATCATTTAAGAAATAAATAACTCATGGAGTCTCAAGCTCCTCCCCCTTTTTTGCCTTATTAGTTCAGACTTTTAAATCTAGTGCCTAGAGAAAGAAAGAATCACCATGGCCAAAGTGTGTTGATATTACCTGAGTGGCAATTATAACACCAACTGAATCAAGATGACTTATTTAGAGTATCAACAGGGGCCACTGGGTGGCTCAGTGCTGACAGCTCAGAGCCTGAAATCTGCTTCGGATTTTGTGTCTCCCTCTCTCTCCGCCCCTCCCCTGCTCCTGCTCTGTCTCTGTCTCAAAAATAAATAAAAACATTAAAAAAAATAAAATAAAAATAGAGTATCAACAAATGTTCTTCAATGAATTATGCCTATGGTGCATTTTAGCACATGTTAAACAATTAATTTTACATGTTCACTTATAAAGTCTTTTATATTGTTCTGTGTTAAAAGCCTTCTCCAGGGGATTTAACATTTATGCTCCTTTAACAAGTAGCATGAGGCACCATACCTGTTGTGCAAGGCCTTCTCGACTTTCAGTAGAGCTGAGAAGGACCCGGCGGTTTGCCAGAGCTTCTTCGTAAGGCACAGACTCCAAGAGGGGCTATGGAAAAGGCAGCAGAAGAATTAAAGGAAAAGATCATATCATTCCTGAATCCTATGTACACAGAAAGAATGTTGAATGGGGTTCAACAATAAATTCAGACATATGCCAACATTCACTATTTCCTTTTAATGATGTCACAGGGACCTTTTTTAAAGAAAAATAACGAAGAGGGACTTGTCATTCCAGTTATAATCTACACTAACTAAAAGCATATGGACCTATACCAAATACCATATGATTTCACTTCTATGTGAAATCTACAAAACAAATTAAAGAAAAAAAAAAAAAAACAGAAACAGACTCAGATACAGAGATCAATCAGGTGGTTGCCAGATTGGGGAGGGGTGGGGGGTGAGAGCATGGGCAAAATAGAGAAAGGGGATTAAAAGATGCAAACTTCCAGTTATAAAATAAATAAGATACAGGATAGGATGCACAGCATAGGAATATAAATAGTAAGTAACAACTTTGCATGGTGACAGATGGTAGCTACACTTGTCTTGGTGATCACTCTGTAATGTACTTAAGTGTTGAATCACTATGTTGTATACCTGTAACTAATATAATATTGTATGTCAATGACATCTCAATTTTTTTTTTTAAAGTAGATTGTCAGAGAGGCAGAAATAAAGATCACTAAGGGGCATTGTCTTGACTGTGCTTTTAAGGGTGTAAACATATGTCAAAACCTATCAAATTGTATGTTTGAAATATATGTAGTTTTTTTATGTCAATTAAACCCCCCAATAAAACTTTCCGAAACAAACACATGAATAAACAGATAAAGGAAGAGGACAGAATATCTAAAAACAGACAAAAGCATACACAAAAACATATTATGTGATAAATGCTGGGTTGTTTTTTCTTTTAAGTCAATAGAGAAAGGACAGACTGGATAAAAGCCACAAGGATAACCAGGTAATAATCTAGAAAAATAACTATTTAGATCCCTTTTTCATACCTCTATCAGAATGACTCCAAGATGGATTAAAGAATTCAATCTAAAAATTTAGACCATGAAAGTAATGGAAGAAAATGTAGGTGATCATTTCTGTAATCTTGAAAAGTACCCCTGGCCAAGAATCACCACCATAAAGAAAAAGATTGATTTAAAGACATAAAAATTAAAACTTCTATTTTGAAAAAATATGACAGCAAACTGGAGAAAAAATACTTCTAACACAGGCACAGGATTAAAGTTCTTACTATATAGGTAGCTCTTTCAACCCTAATTAGGAACATTTATCTAAAAATAGATCAACGATGAACAGAGAATTGACAGAATAAATACAAACAATAACTTTATGAAAAGACATACCACTTCAATAAGCAAAGGAATGCCAATTAAAATAATAAGAAGCTTCTTGTCTAATTAATATTAAATTTATGGGTTAAATTTATACTTCTGCTGGTAAACTATAAATAGACAATCTTCCTGAAGTGTAGTCTGGAAAAATGTGTCAAAATTTGAAAGATTCACAGACTTTGTTTGAACCAGCAATTCCATTTTGGGAAATTAATCTTAAAGACATAATTAAAATAATTACACAAAGAGAGATTGGTAGCCTTATACAATGCTAGAAACATAAAACAGTACAGCTACTCTTAAGGACAATTTGCAACACATATTAAAATGTAAAATGTGCAAGCCACATGATTCAGAACATTCCACTACTCAATATTCCACACATGTGCCCAAGGAGGCATTTACAAAGCTATCACTTAAAGTATTATTGTAACAGTAAAAAACTGGAATGAACCTAAATGCCCACCAATAAGGAATATCTAAATGAGCCACAAAACATACATATTGTAAGATTCTATGCTGTATTTAAAAGGAATATAGTAGCCACCATATGTAATGATACAGACAGGTCTCTGAAACATTTTATTTGTTTTTAATTTTTCTTTGTTTCTTCATTTTTTTTAAGTATAGTTGATGCAGGCACCTGGGTGGCTCAGTCGGTTAAGCATCCGACTTCGGCTCAGGTCATGATCTCACAGTTTGTGAGTTCGAGCCCTGCATCGGGCTCTGTGCTGACAGCTCAGAGCCTGGAGCCTGCTTCTGATTCTGGGTCTCCCTCTCCCTCTGCACCTCCCCCCACTTGCTCGTGCACGCTCTCTCTCTCTCTCAAAAATAAATAAAACATTAAAAAATATTTTTTTAAATACATAGTTGAAGAACAATGTTAGTTTCAGATGTACAATATGGTGATTCGACAATTCTTTACACCTAACAAAACATTTTTTTAATTAATTATTTTTTTTAAACAATCTGTATACACAACGTGGGGCTCAAACTCATGACCCTGAGATCAAGAGTCTCCCACGCTTCAAACGGAGCCAGTCAGGCACATCTAAGACACTTTAAATGAAAAAAATCAAGGCACCTGGGTGGCTCAGTTGGTTAAGTGTCCAACTCTTGCTTTCAACTCAGGTCATGGATCTCACAGTTCAGTTTGTGAGAGTGAGCCCCACAATGGGCTCTGCTCTAACAGCACACAGCCTACTTGGGATTCTCTCTCTCCCTCTCTCTCTCTGTCCCTCCCCCATTCACACTCTTTCTCAAAATAAATAAAACATTTAAAATAAATAAATAAAACTTAAAAAGTCAAAAAAAAAAAAGAAAAAATCAAGTTGCCCAATGAAACAAGCATTTCAGTTGAAAAAAGAAAGAAAATTCTATACATTGTATATTGTCTATAAGTTTATACAGATGCATGCTCCAAGATTCTGGAAGGTTATACACCAAACTGATAGCTATAATGACCTCTGGCGAGAGAGTGGAATTAGGGACTATACATGTAATGCTCTAATGTAATATAAGAATATGTTTAGGCATTATTTGTACCTAAAAGTAAAAAAAAAAATAAGGAGGAAAAAGGTAAAAAATGCACAAAGTTAGAGTTGTATGTGCAAGAATATCTACTGTTTCTCTGCATATAACAGTGAAAAATAGGAAACAACCTAAATACCAATGAGCAATGGATTAGTTAATTAAATTATCACACACAGAATGAAATACTATAGATTTAATACTATAGAGGTATTAAAATGATAACAATTTATATTTATAGAAAGTATTATTTGATGTATTAAAAATCACAATTTTTATATCCACAAAAACAATATTCTAAAACAGTGTATGTCAATGGACTATCAGCCATCAAAAAGAATGAAATCTTGCCATTCCAACAATGCAGATTGAGCAACAATGTATTCTGCTAAGCAAAATAAGCCAGTGAGAGAAAGACAAATACCATATGATTTCACTCATACGTGAAATTTAAGAAACAAAACAGATGAACATAGGAGAAGGGGGAAAAAAGAGAGAGAGAGAGGGAGGCAAACTATAAGACACTCTTCAACTACAGAGAACTGAGAAGTGATGAGGGGAGGTAGGCGGGGGATGGGCTAACTGGGTGATGGGCATTAAGGAGGGCACTTGTGATGAGCACTGGGTGTTAAATTTAAGTGATGAATCACTAAATTCTACACCTGAAACCAATTTGACCATATATCCTAACTAGAATTTAAATAAAAAATTGAAATAAAAAAGTAAAATGAAATAGAAGGGTATGTATCCAGATACACTTTGCTTTTTATAGCACATACATGTATGTGTTTCCTTGTGTGCGTGTGTACACACATGCACTAAAGTTTTTTGGATACAGATATACTCCAACAAAATTAAGGGTAGCTACCTCTGGGGGTGGGAATTGGTGTGTGATTTTCTTCTTCTTTATGCACTGTTACACCTTCTGATTTCTGCTTGCAATGACCTTGTATTCTTAGACTCAGGAAAAAATTATAAATGTATTTCAATTTTTTTCTATTTCTACAAGTTTGAGATTTCTGAAGTTTGATATTTATTGGCTGCCTGGCTGTCTCATTCTAGACACTTGGGGACATGAATTCAACATGGCCTATGCATAGATCACACATTAATTGAGGTTTGGGTCTCTGTCACCTTCTCCTCCCCAAAGACCTCCCCCAATACTCACCAACCACCTGTGCCCCCAACTGTGTAAAATCTAAACAAAACGAAATGTGGAAAAACTCTTGCCCTTCTCTGGAATGATTCCTGATTTTTCCTCTGAGGTTAATTTAACAGGAGCTCACAAACCTTTCTCAGAGCCTTCATATAGGCGGCAGCTTTTTTCTTGTATTGCAGCATGCACTCAGCTGAAAGAGGACTAATGAAGCCACTCGCTGCCTTAGGCCCGTAGCTCAGAGAAGCAATGAAGTAGTCCACATTGTTGCTGAAGAAAGATGCAATCTAAATCAAGTGTGACAAGAAAACAGATTTTGTTTTCCAATCATGTATCTAAAATATAGACCTAATAGTTTTCGAAGCAAAGTTAAAGGTGCCGGAATGGAAATGAAATTTCAACACCTGCCAAAAGCCCACATTTATTTACTTGGGAAGAATTCCTAGGGCAATGATTTGTAATAGAAAGACAATACCAGTATAAAGATTGAGACCAGACTTCTGACATGTCTTAACCTAGACAATTTCTATTCTTTCTGAAAACCAAGACTGATTCGGGTTTATTCTGGGGATGATGTTCATGGGCCATTTACCTCATTAATTTCTGCCACTCGTCTCAAAATATGCATGTTTGGATTTATATATTCCATTTGTATTTTAACTTTGAATGTTTCCAATTCCAACATGAGACAGGACACAGCATCTTGAATATGATAACTCTACTTAAATTTAATTCTGTAAATCTCAATTTATGATCTACAAATATAATAAAGACTGTGTAAGCAGGCACAGAGACCCATGACTGAGCCATGACTTTGCATTTATAGTGTTGTATGAAATGGTGATATAAATAAAAATGTCTGAGAAGGTTATTAGCCAAAAAAATTAAAGTGCTGGATACATTAAAGAACATCCTATTTTGATAAATAAGAAGTGACTTATGGAACAAAGTATCCTACACCTTGGCAAAAATTGGCCAGAAAGTAAGCAAGCAATCACTAATGGTCTGAAAGATTTTATTTTTCATTAGTATTTTACTATGTCAAATGAAATTCTACACTAGGTAGTATTCAAGAAAATAAAGGATTCTAAAAGTCTTGAGCTTTATATTCCTTGCAAATGACATGGATAATCATATACCCAGGATTTGCATTTTAGGTCATAGCAATATATGGTGAGGTCTACATTCTTTCCTCTCTCTAGTATTTGTACATTTTCTAAATGTTCTTCAATATGCATATGTTACATTTTCCTACTGGGCTTTTAAAAATTATATACCATAAAATTTAGTTTAATCAAATCACATTAGCTAGATATTAAGCTGCCACCAACTAACATTAGTTCAGATACTTACTTCAGTTAAAAACCATTTTTAGGGGTGCCTGGGTGGCTCAGTTGGTTAAGCGTCTGACTCTTGATTTTGGCTCAGGTCATGATCTCGTGGTTTTTTAGTTCATGCCCTGCGTCGGGCTCTACACTGACAGTGCGGGGACTGCTTGGGATCCTCTATCGCTCTCTCTCCCTCCCCCTCTGTCTCTCTCTTTCCCTCTCTCTCTCTCAGAATAAATAAACTTTAAAAAAAAACTTATAAAAATTGCACAATTTTTCACCATCAGATACCTTCCCTTGAGACATTTTAAGGTTTCAGGTAAAGCAAATCTAAAATTAGCTAATATAAAGGTATTTAATATTTCAGAATTTTCATAAAAGTTAGAAACTGCAGAAACGCCTCTAAAGGGCTAACATTCTCTTCTTCCAGAATTTTTCTTAATTAAATCAAGGTCAGAATTATCTTCAGAAAGCTTCAGCATGCCTGTAGATGCAAGCGATCAAGAGGGTACAGCTGGGATGGTCTTCTGGCTGAGGAACCCTGGAGGCACAGATCTGTGCGCTGACAGAACCCAAAGATAACACCCTCTAATTATGGCCCCAAGCACTGCAAAGTGTCACAAAGACCAGTCTGAGTCGGGGAAAGATGAGAAAGAGGACACTGAATATGTAATATGATCGGTGATCACTTCTGGTTAACTTAATTACCTGAAAAAAATGTGTTCCTGTTATGGGCAACCTGTCAGAAAAATAATGGTATATAAACACAGGTAGAAATTAACATTTCCTTGAGAAATTAGGTTGCATCCACAGAAATAAATGGGCTAAGATAGTTCTGAATACAGTCCTTTTGGTTACACATATATGGGTAGTTCCCAGAGAAATATGAATCAGTAAAGGTGCTGATGACAGCCACATGAACACATACTGACAATGTCACAGCTGCTGAAGCCAGAATATCCAAGACAGAATTTTTAGAGAAAATGCATTTTGGCCAGTTTATCATAATAATTAAGTGCCTAATGACCCAAATAATTATCTAATATTAATGGTCCAATGAAAAGACATATGTTCAAAGTCACCTTAAAAGTTCTTGTTAAGAAACAAAACCACAGAGGTAGCATTAGGACAAGTGTTATCAAAAAACAAAAAACCAGGAAGGAAAAAAACCAAAATATTAATGAAGGTTTTATTGGTTCGTTTTTCTTTTTATGTAATTTCCCAATCTCTATACAGCAGACATTTGATATATACAAAGATGTATACTGATCATCAAATATCTCACTAAAAAATAAACTGTGAGTGATCTACTTACTCATCACGAATGCTAAACAGTCACTCTCCTATTGCTTTAAATATTGGGCAGTGAGAAGGAAAAGGGAGACAACTTTATTTTACAAAAAAGTCTGATATTCCAAACTTCTTTTACAGATTAGTTTTCCTATGTCATTTAAGGAAGGAAAAAAAAGGAGCTTACTTAAGAATTAAATTTAATGTCAATATAAACCAGAGAAAACTTACCTTTCCTGCTCCATTTGTTAATGCTACTACTGAGGACAGGATACAGTCATTAGTTGTAATGAGCTTCTGTGTTGCTGTTGGAAGTTCATGCTCTATTGTAGCTTTCTGATTGTAATGTTTAGAGATATCTATAAAAGCAATCAAATGAAAACTATTACCATTCATACACAAGTTGCATACAGATAACCAGCCCGTTCACTCTCATATCTGCTTTTAGAGATTTACACAGTAAATATGACCAAAAAATGGTCCCAAATATATCGGGATTGTCCTGAGTATCAACTAGGTCACAAATCCATGTGAAGAGAATAGAGCCAAGTGAGGGTCTCTTAACACCATCCTGATGTCTCTATTATAGTCACCAGCTTAAGGGTCTGATTCTCCCTCTTTTGAGTGTTTGCTCTTATTCTAGTGTTGAGTAAATGACCCTGACCAGTATTTACCAGTTAAAAACGCTGTTTTAATAGTCTGGCAGGCACAAATGAGAATTCATCTTGTACTTATATAAGCTAACCATGAGGCTAGAAGAGAATGACCAACACAATCTCCTGCAATCCTTACTGGACCTTAGTCAGTCTGCCAGTACACACCCTAACAAACACTGACAAGGATCTTCACAGCCAAACTGGGACTGAATCCTCCAGTGTATGGCTTCACGTGCTACTGCCTCCAGTCCCAGAATATTACAATAAAGGCCTGTGGTTAGAAAAGCACAGGAGAGACTTAAATATAAAAAGCATGAGGAGAAATTGCAGTAGGTGAAACCGGCCAAATGACTTAAGGTTGGGGTTTTCTGGGTCTCTGAGAAAGAATGATTTTGTCCTGGAAATAAGGGATAATGGGAGAATCTTAAGACAACACTGATTTATAAGGAAGGGTAATTATATTTTTAAATAATAAAGTGTTTACAATTCATTCTCCTCTGAATTTTTTAGAATACTTCAGGTACAACAGCACTAATTATCCCTACCAACAAAGCTAAAAATAAATCACAAAATATGAAAATTAATTTTTATAATGGGTGTGTATGCAGAGAACTGCATTTATTCAGAATCAAGAAGTCTAGTTAATCCTAGATTATGGATAATTAAAAAGAAATAAGACTAGAAAGAAATGGTTTTTGAGATTTAACCTGATATGATCATGGTATTTTAACACAAAATCACTGTTTTATGAATAGAATTATTTTTACTAAAATTTTTAAACTGGGGAATTGTTTTAGTTATATATTTAATATACATATATGCACATATATATAAACTTTTAGTTTTAGAGTCACAGAAAAGTTACAGAGACTTTTCTGTATACCTTTTAGCCAGTTTTCCCTGTTGTTAACACCTTACATTACAGTTGCCACAGCAAAAGAATCAACTAATTAGTATATTACTATTATATTTACGTTTTCAAAAATAAATGATTATCCTCTATATATTCATAAGATACCCAAGTGAATAAAAATTCGACTGGGGGCACCTAGGTGGCTTAGTCAGTTGGGCATTAACTTCAGCTCAGGTCATATCTCACAGTTCATAAGTTCGAGCCCCACACTGGGCTCTGTACTGAGAGCTTGGAACCTGGAGCCTGCTTCGGATTCTGTGTCTCCCTCTCTCTCTGCCCCTCCCCCCACTTGCTCACATGCACGCGCTCACTCTCTCTCTCTAAAATAAACATTAAAAAATTTTTTTTGATTTGAACACTGAACACTCTTATATACTGAACTTGCTAGCCCCTAACACAGACATTTTCTCTCTACACACCACAGAAAGGTTTGGTCGCAATTTTGCTAGAAGTACACAAAACTATGATACAACTTGGCTGGCAGTAATCTTAGGTGATCAGCAGGTGACTGGGATACTTAATGAAAGTCATATAATACTATGAATACTTACATGGCTTCTACTGGACTTGTGCCACTGCAGTTTGACAACAGTAATTCTCCTAATCAAATTGTGTACTCTTTATCAAGTCGAAATATTTCAATTATTTAGGGTGTTCCTTGACATTAAATTTTAAATCCAAAAAGAACAAAGAAATCATGCAACCTAAGCCCAGAGATTTATTTTTCTCTTATGTTTCCTATGAGTCTACCTGCTTTAGACCTGAGACTAAAAATCAACAATTCTCAGGGAGCCTAGGTAGCTCAATCAGTTAAGCATCCAACTCTTGATTTCAGCTCAGGTCATGATCTCACAGTTCATGAGTTCAAGCCCCACATCAGGCTCTGAGCTAATAGTGCAGAGCCTGCTTGAGATTCTCTCCACCCCCCCCCCTTTTGTGCTCACACTCTCTCTCAAAAAAAAATAATAAACTTTAAAAAAATAACAATTCTCCCTCAGAATTCACTTGTTAAAAGATTAATTCACTCCTATTTTAAATCCATTAGGACAGACATTTTAATATATCTCTAGGTCTCTTTTTACAATGACACCTGCCTGCCTTCTAACTTAGATCAAGCAATTATTCAGGGCAAAGCAGGAAGGGAAGAGGCTTGAAATGAGAGTTCTCTGAAACATAAAGCTTCTTCTGTTAATGCCAGTTGATATTCACTCTGAGTTTCCATGAGAGATACCCACCAGTCTTACAACTTAAGTAAAAAGACAGATTTAAACTGTAAACCTAGTAACAGGACCCCATAATCTTGCCAACCACCCTTCATGTTTCCCAATATTCTCTCTTTACGTTATGTTTTCAAGGACAGAAACAAGTGGAGGAACTAAGGGGGTTCAGGGTGGGGGGTGCCTCTGATCCTCCCATAAGTTTCATTAGCTCATGTCCCAAATAACAAACAGTAACATTCTTAGATTTGGACCACTTGGTGTCTTAATCTTATGTAATGTTTGAATAAAAGCATCTGAATAGGGGTGTCTGGCTGGCTCAGTTGATGGAGCATCTGAGTCTTGATCTCAGGGTTGTAGGTTGGAGCCCCATGCTGGGTCCAGAGATTACTTAAAAAAAAAATCTTAAAAAAAGAAAGCATCTGTATAAAACTCTGTATATTATAGATTAATTAAAATAGAAATATAAATAAAATCGATTTTTTTTTTAACGTAAAGGAAGCTTTAAGACCCCTCTTATTGGATAGCTACCCTCCACTGCTCTCACCCATTCTTTATAGGAATGCTGGAGAAACTGCTAGCAAGAACAAATAATAATATCAGCATAGCAAAATTTAGAAACTAAAACCAAAAACTGGAGCAACAGCTACCTATGGTTTCAATGGCCTAGCTCTGGGTTAACTAAAGTCCTGGAAGAGAGGACCATAGCTAGGTTTTAACTTCCCAAACCAAAAGCTGCACAGGAAAAAGGCAACATGCCCTTAGGTCCTCTACAGAGCAGACTAGTTTGGGCTGACTCTTGTCATCTGCCACCAAGACTGTCTATTCAAGCTGTGATTCCTACAGCCACGGCTAGCCCTAGAAGTACAGTGATTTTTTAAAATTCCTTATAATTGGAGACGATCCACAGAAAGGTATATTCTCCATACTGAACGGTAAGACAGTGCTAGCTAATACTGCTGACACTAAGACTGAATGATTCCCAGTGCTGGAGGTTACATGCCAACCTACAAGAGAGCCTGAATACACCCATCTTGTACATGCTTTCCAACAGCCTTAAGGTTTTAAAATTATTTTCTGTGAAACTAGGAATTGGTCCCTAATTGTTACCTAAGTACCACAATGAATAATCTAGGCTATTATTAATCTGGGCTATTTCCAATAATTGCTTCTGCCCTTTCCTCCTTCTCCTACCCCAACTCTCTTCAAAAGGAAAAGAAGAAAAAAACCTAGAAGCCATGCAGACCCAGATTGAAAAGTCGACTCAGGATCACAGTTAGCTAAGAAGCATATGAAATGTCCTTCAGCCGACTATATTCTTTGTACACAGCAATTAAAAACTAATCAAAGCTTAAAACCAGACCTCCACTCCTTAAGTCTCCCCTGAAGAAAACAGGCCTTAAAATGGGTACTTTATTTCATTTTATTTTTTTGAGAGAGAGTGGGTGCAAGTGAGTGACAGGCAGAGACAGAGAGGGAGAGAGAGAGGAGGGAATTAAAATGGGCACTTTAAACTTAAAAATGCATAGGATGGTGGAAAGTGAGTACATGGGGCGCCTGGGTGGCGCAGTCGGTTAAGCGTCCGACTTCAGCCAGGTCACGATCTCGCGGTCCGTGAGTTCGAGCCCCGCGTCGGGCTCTGGGCTGGTGGCTCGGAGCCTGGAGCCTGTTTCCGATTCTGTGTCTCCCTCTCTCTCTGCCCCTCCCCCGTTCATGCTCTGTCTCTCTCTGTCCCAAAAATAAATAAAAACGTTGAAAAGGAAAAAAAAAAAAAAAAAATTTAGAAAGTGAGTACATTCTTTCTTGGAACTTTAAACGCTGGATTCCTCAACTCCTTCATGCTTGGGCTCTAACAAGTGCAAAGTATTCTGCTAAATGCCTCTGAATAGCATGTCTGGCTTGATAAAATTCACACACCTGCCTTAAATCAGTGCAATGTATTTTTGGCCAAAGTACTGTGCACAAGGGTTTCTCTTCAGCACTGTGTTTACCTTCTGAAATGAAGCAGATGGAAAAAACAGAAGGCAGTGAGCTGCGCACTTCAACATAAGCCAAATGCTACTAAGCCTTTTTCTGGGGTCTATTAGCCTTGGTGGTATTGGTTTAATCTCATTTGGGCAGATCTGAGAAAATGAGATGAAGGTTTTCAGCTTATTTATGTTCTTTCCAAACCTCACCTTTCATGACATCATGAAATCCATGCAGAGCAGCACCAACATTTGTTAAGACAGAACTATAGTTCGTCCGAAGGAGTCCATCTGGCTCTGTACCTAGGAAACCAAAATCACAAGCCTAAGCATTTTCCCAGAAGACTTCGCCTAAAAACCTGAGAGCTCACCTGCCTCCTCTACTCTTGGGAAGAGAGAAAATAAAGATGGCTTGTGATATGTTGGAAATAATGGCTCCTGAAGTCTTTGCAAACACATTCAGATAGAAGAGTGATAAATATACATCCAACTCATCTGCATTACCCATATCCACAAATATTTTTAATGGTTAAGAACCAAAATTACATTGTTAAGTAGGATTACATATTTTATGATTCTTCTTGCAATAAAAGTTGAATTTTCACCTTGTAACTTCAGGACATATTTCTCAATTTCTCCTTTCCCTATACATGATTATTAGTTGAACATCACTAAAAACACCATTATTCAAATATCAGAGCTCCACTTCTGGCATGACAGCATGAGCAGTTCCACAGGCCCTCTGAGCTCACAGCATGGAGCCTGCTTGGGATTCTCCCTACCTCTCTCTCTGCCCCTTCCGTGCGCACAGGTACAGATGCTCTCATGCGTGTGCTCTCTCTCTCTCTCTCTCTCTCTCTCTCTCTCTCTCTCTCTCACACACACACACACACACAATAAACTTAAAAGAAAAAAAAAGCCCAAATTTAACTGGATCATCTGTGAAGCAATTTATGCCCCAAAGGCATTGTTGAAAACAAGACAGCAGCCAGTCAGCAATCAGTGGAGTTTATCCTCCACGTGATTAAGAAACAAAACAGGAGGGGCGCCTGGGTGGCTCAGTGGGCTAAGCATCAGACTCCTGATATGGGCTCAGTTCATGATCTCACGGTCCCTGTGCTGGAGCCCCACATCGCACTCCATGCCAATAGTGCACAGTCTGCTTAGGATTCTCTCTCTCACCTTCTCTCTGCTCCTCCCCCACTAGTGCTCGCACGCGCTCTCTCTCTCTCTCTCTCTCTCAAAATAAACTTTTAAAAAAAGAAGGAACAGGGGCGCCTGGGTGGCTCAGTCGGTTGGGCATCTGGCTTTGGCTCAGGTCATGATCTGGCAGTTTGTGAGTTCAAGCCCCACGTTGGGCTTTGTGTGGACAGCTCAGAGCTTGGAGCCTGCTTAGGATTCTGCACCTCCCTCTCTCTCTGCTCCTCCTCCTCCTCTCTCTCTCTCTCTCTCTAAATTAAACATTAAAGAAAAATTAAAAAAAAAAAAAAAAAAAAAGGGAACAAGACTGGGAAAGGGCCCTGACAAAACCACTGTTACCCAGGACGACTGTGGGCCTGCCCATGGCTAAACCCCCTGAGAAACAACAAGTAATCAGGGTGATTACTCTGAAAAACTACAAAATAAAATTAAAGAAGGTCTGTCTAGATGCAAAAATACAGTAGGGGCGCCTGGGTGGCGCAGTCGGTTGAGCGTCCAACTTCAGCCAGGTCACGATCTCACGGTCCGTGAGTTCGAGCCCCGCGTCAGGCTCTGGGCTGATGGCTCGGAGCCTGGAGCCTGTTTCCGATTCTGTGTCTCCCTCTCTCTCTGCCCCTCCCCCGTTCATGCTCTGTCTCTCTCTGTCCCATAAATAAATAAAAACGTTGAAAAAAAAATTAAAAAAAAAATATATAGCATGTTCATGAACCAGAAAACTTAACATCATTAAGATGGCAATACTCCCTGTGTGAGTTTCCCAGGGCTGCCGTAACAAAGTGCTACAAAGGGAGTGGTTTAAAACCACAGAAAACAGCGCTCTTACAGTTCTGGAAGCCAGAAGTCTGAAATCAAAGCTGTGCTAACAGGGCCACACTTCCTCTGAAGGCTCCAGAGAATAGTTCCTTGCCTCTCCCAGCTTCTGTTGGCCCACATGTTCCTTGGCTTATGGCAGGATTAACTCCAATCCCTGCCTTGGTCTTCATATGGCCTCCCTGAGTCTCTCCTGTGTCTCTATATGTCTCCAAATCTCTCCTTATAAGGATGGTAGTCACTGGACTGACAGGGCTCTCCCTAAACTAGTAAGGCCTCATCTTACCTTGATTACATCTGCAGAGATCCTATTTCCAAATAAAGTTGTATACACAGATACCAGAGTAGAATTTCACGTACTTTGGGGAGACAATTCAACCCACAAAACTCCCCAGACTGATCTACAGATTCAGTGCAATCCCTGTCAGAATCCCAGCTGACTTCTTTGTAGAAACTGACAAGCTGATTCTAAAATTTACATGAAATTACAAGGGAACAAGAATAGTCAAACAGACGTGCCTGGGTGGCTCAGTCGCTCCTCCAGCTCTTTGGTTTCGGCTCAGGTCATGATCCCATGGTTTGTGGGTTCAAAACCTGTGTTGGGCTCCACGTTGACAGTGCAGAACCTGCTTGGGATTCTCTCCCTCTCTCTCCCTCTGCTCCTCCTTCACTCTCACTCACATTCTCTCTTTCTCTCTCCCTCCCTCTCTCTCAAAATAAATCAATAAACATAAAAAAAAGAAAGAATACTCAAATAATCTTGACAAAGAACAAACTAGGAGGACTCTCACTTCCTGATCTCAAAACTTACCCAAAAGCAACAGTCATCAAGACAGTATAGTATTGGCATAGGACTGACACATATATAGATTAATGGAATAAACCTGAGAGTCTAGAATTAAATCCATAAACCTATGATCAACTGATTCTTAACAAGTGTGCCAAGGTCATTCAATAGGGAAAAAAGTCTTTTCAATAAATGGCGCTGAGACAACTAGATATACACCTTACACCAGATAAAAAAATTAACTCAAAATGGATCAAGGACCTAAACATGAAAGCTACAACTATAAAATTCTTAGAAGAAAACATAGGGGTAAGTCTTTATGACTTCATATTTGACCATGGATTCTTAGACACCAAAAGCACAAACAATAAAATAAAAATAAATTGATTTCATGTAAATTAAAAAACTTTTGTGCTTCAATGGACACCATAAAAAAGTGAAAAGAAAGCCCACAAAATGGAAGAAAATATTGCCAATCATATATCCAAAAAGGAATTTGTATCTAGAGTATATAAAGAACACTTACAGGGGTACCTGGGTGGCTCCATCAATTACGCATCTGACTTTGGCTCAGGTCATGATCTCTTGGCTTATGGATTTGAGCACCACATCGGACTCTAAGCTGACAGTTCAGCCTGGAGCCTGCTTCAGATTCTATGTCTCCCTCTCTCTCTACCCCTCCCATATTCATGTTCTGTCTCTCTTTCTTTCAAAAATTAATGAACATTAAAAAAAAATTTTAAAAACAGGGCTCCTGGGTGGCTCAGTCAGTTAAGCGTCCAACTTCAGCTCAGGTCATGATCTCGCAGTTCATGAGTTCAAGCCCCTTGCTGACAGTTTAGAGCCTGGAGCCTGCTTCAGATTCTGTGTCTTCTTCTCTGCCTCTCCCCAGCTCATGCTTGCTCTCTCTCTAGCTCTCTCTCTCTCAAAAAAAAAAAAAAATTAAAAAAAATTTTTTTATAAAAAAAATAAAAATAAAATAACACTTACAACTCAATAATAAAAAGACAACCTAATTGAAAAATGGAGAAAAGATCTGAATAAATCTATTTCCAAAGAAGACACACAAATGGCCAATAAGGACATGAAAAGATGCTTGACCTCATTAGACATCAGGGAAATACAAATCAAAAGAGCAATGAGACACCACCTCACAAAGTTGAATAATAACACTAGGATGGCTAAAATCAAAAAGCCAGATAATAACAAGTATTGGTGAGGATGTGGAGAAATCAGAACCCTGCTGGTAGGAAGCCACCTTGCAAAACAGTATGGCAGTTCTTCCAACAGTTAAGTATAGTCGTTACCATATGACCCAGCAATTCCACTCCTAGGTATATACCCAACAGAAATGAAAGCTAGTCCACTCAAACACTGTTCACAAGTATCTATAGTATCACTACTCATAACAGCCAAAAGGTGGAAAACAATAGAAAGCATCAACTGATAGGTAAATAAAATGTGGTATATCTCTACAATGGGAGGGTACTCTGTAATAAAAAGGAATGGATTATTGATACATGCTTCCTGTTGGGTGAATCTTGAGAACATTTTGCTGAGTGAAAAAAAAAGCAGTCACAAAAAACATGTTATATGATTCTGTTTATACAAAGTGTTCAGAATAGGCAAACTTACGAGCAGAAAGTACGTTAGTAGTTGCTTAAAGCCAAGGAGGGGTGGAACAGGGGAAAAAGAAGGTGATAGCTAAAGTATACAGGGTTTCTGCTTGAAGTGATGAAAGTATTTTAAAATTAACTTTGATATATGATGGTGCATATATTTGTGAATATACTAAAAACCACTGAATGTTATACTTTAAATGGGTAAACTGTATGGTATGTAAATTATATCACATTAAAGCTGTTACAAAAAAAACAAATCACAGTTCCAGAAAAATCATGTCATTCTTAAAACATCGCTTAAACTGAGATCCATTCAATTACCTGAAAATATTCTCCTCAAATTAGACAAAAGGGAAACAAATGATATTTTTACTTCTAAACCTCCCCCCCTCCTATTCTACTTGTTGGGAAGTTGCTACAAATTCTTATGCTTTGCCCCTCTGCATTTAAAAAAGAGGATTGTGAGGGGTGCCTGGGTGGCTCAGGCAGTTGGGTGTCCGACTTCGGCTCAGGTCATGATCTCATAGTTCATGGGTTTGAGCCCCGCGTTAGGCTCTGTACTGACAGCTCAGAGTCTGGAGCCTGTTTTGGATTCTGTGTCTCCCTCTCTCTCTGCCCCTCCCCTGCCCGTGCTCTCTCTCAGTCTCTCAAAAATAAATAAACATTAAAAAAAAATTTTTTTTTTTTTAAAAGAAGATGGTGAGAAAGGAAATTAATATTTAATGCATGTCTTCAATGCTTGATTCTGTACATTCTTAATTTAACTTAAAAATCCTTTTACCTCCTTTTTTAAATGGGAAGACAGGTACAGAGAGATAAAGCAAGTTGCCCAAGACCATAAACGTGTAAGGGGCTGGGGGACTTGAGTTCAAGTTTTTCTGACTCTAGATCCTGCATTCTTCCTGCTCAAACAAACTAAACATCTCCTTCTCCAGCTTCTTGTACTCTCAGTTCTTCAGGTTGAACCATGAGCAACAAACAAACATACTTGGCAAGGCGAGAAGACCGACGTAAGTCTGCAGCTTCTCAAACACAGCTGTCATTTTTCTCATGTCCTGAGACAGCTCTAGGTTCCTGGCTCTCAACGCAGATGTGCAAAGAGAAGATTCACATTCTTCTTCTAAACTAGGAATGAGCAGATTTTTCAAAAGTGAGCATCCTAACGATTTTCAAATAGCTACAATAAATCCTCTCAATTCTCAAACAACTAGATCCAAAGAGAAAACTTTACAAAAAATAAAAAAAAATTTATTTCATTTATAAGGTTCCGTTTTTTAAACCGTAATACACATACCTGTTGGCTGCAAATGTCAAAGGAGTAACAGAGGACTAAATGGGAAATAAAAAAAAAAAGGCAGGTGTCCATTGTCTTTCCATTCTGAGAACAGCACAAAATTATTTCTCTTAAAAATATTTTGAGGAAAAAAATATTTTGAGGAGGGGTGCCTGGCTGGCTCAGGTGATAGAGCATGTGATTCTTGATCTTGGGGTCATGAGTTCAAGCCCCACACCAGGCACAGAGCTGAAAGGAAAAGGAAAAGGAAAAGGAAAAGGAAAAGGAAAAGGAAAAGGAAAAGGAAGGGAAAGGAAGGAAAAAGAAAAGAGAAGAAAAGAAAGAAAAGAGAAGAAAAAGAATACAAAAATATTTTGAGGAGAAAAATATCTCATAGACTGACTTCCTAAAGAGAACTGAACAGGAACCAGCAGACAGTCAATCATTAAGAAACCTTTATAGTATATGTATTTGTAAGGTTAAAAAAACAGGTGGATTCTTAACAGTACTTTTTAAAAATGTGCAGGTAATCCCTCCCCTGTTCGTGCTCTGTCTCTGTCTCTCAAAAATAAATAAACGTTAAAAATATTTAAAAAATAAAATGTGCAGGTAATCAAGCAAAATGCTTTTTATATAAAGCTAGAAGAGTTATTATCACAGGAAAAATAATCATATCTCCCTCCTCGACCTTGACATGTCTCTTTTTCTACTTTATAGCAGACAGCTTCATTTAATACTAAGCCCGTTTACAACTAAAAAACATGCCATCTTGTCAATTAAAGTGGTTTTGAAACCAATGATGAAAAGTTGCCTAAAAACATAAATATATGATGGGGTAGGGAACAACATTCCAAAAATAGGAATCTAAGATCAAGAAAGGTCTTATCCAATGTTTCTAAAAACTCAATAGTGAAAAAATTAAGGTAAAATAAAAATGCCTAAGTGTTTCAAGTAGTAAATACCACTTTTGCAGTGGTTCTCAGATTCCTCTTAAACATAAGCCAGATCAATAAGGTATATTCAATTTAGTGTTAAACTTCTAGAATCAATTTTCAAAAAACTTTAACTATACTGAACCATAAGATGTAAGAATCTGAATGAAATGTAATTCATAATTATTAAAGTCCTAACTCCTTGATTCCTAAAATTCTATCATACCAACAAATCATAAAATGTGGTTACTGAAATAACTTTTAATTAAGAATTAAATAACATTTAATTAGGAAATAAAATGGCTTTTAACACATATTAAATGTTTCAAATAATGAAAGTATACATTTTTAAAAAGGTAAAACCTACTACTTTAGTTTTATAAGGATTTATGAACCATAATTACTTGTATATTTTCAAAATCTCTAAGTGAGTTACTTACATATGAGTTATCTACATATTTTCTAAAGTTTATTCTACAATATATTATAACACATCTGTGTTCTTGTTTCTCTTGTGTTCCAGTTGTATTCTTTTTTCTTAAGGCTAAATCTTAGGATGAAAAGATTTAGATGGAGGTCTTATTAGTTTTAGACCAAAAATATCAAAATGTACAAGCAATATTAAATTTCCAGTTATGGAGATTATTTTCGCTTTCCCTTCCAGAAATACTTAACAAAGAATACTTAAGGTTACATAATGACATCTTCTACGAGGGGTGCAGCACATACACAAAATTTTTAGTTTGTAACTTATAAACATCACCAATAATAAAAACAAGAAAATACCACCTTGAAGAAACCTAATGATTACAGGTCCAATCGTAGACGCTATTATAACCCCCATCTAAATGGGGGTTTTGTTTACAGCAAAAAGATAAAACTGAAATTATTTTAATAAATGTGTGATTCACAATCACTGAAAACATGGATTCATACTGTTATGTGATTATAGCAGTAATCACAGTACAGAACTACTCAAAAAAACCCTAACAGATGCACAAAAAATTTTCTTAAATATAAGTTTATGCTGCTCAAGCCATATTTTCCTTTTTTGTAAAAGTCCAAATTGGCTACGATGCAGAAAGATCAGGCAGATCACAAGAGATACCTGTCTCTATTTTATTAATTCCAGCACAGGTCAGGTGACACCCCACAATTCCCCAAATTCCTTGCCCTCAAGGATTAAGTACCTTTTTAACTGATAAGGAAGAATCTTCCTAAGAAAACATATGTAAGAGGTTAAGTGCTCTGAAAAAGTTTTCAATTTCACAGTAGTCTCCTGGAAGAGAAAAATAATTTCATGGTTAATAGTGTTATTTGACAAAGAGAGCCTCCACTTCCAGAAGTGAAACACAGAAGAAAATTACCAGGACAGTCACAGTATCCTCAGTAATACTTTCAAATAAATGAAGCATTCCTTCCTCAAGAGGGCGGACGTAGGACGCATTTTCATGAAGGTACTGTGAGAACTAAATACAGAAGGGAAAGAATTGGGAGTTACATCACTGGAAAATAACAAATACCAACAGATTTGTAAATGGACTCAACTGGGTTGCAATAAACTTTTTTGGGAAATTTTTCTGGGAAATTTGGCTTTTACAAAACAGATATGCTCCCCTCTAATAGTTCCAAATACAATCCCCAAGTCCCCATCTCATTCCAAAAGGAGGAACTTGAAAGGGGGCCCGGGAGACATAATTAACAACCAGGCATGGGTGGAAACGGGGAGGGGACACTGCATCACAACCAGCACCAACAGGCCTTCCCCAAACACCTGCTTCTCTACAGGGGTCTCCGTTAAAAAAAAGAAAAGAAAATCAAAACTGTATGAAAGGTTTTTAGGTTATGTATCTCATTCTTTAAAAAAAATTTTAATGTTTATTTTGAGAGAGAGAGAGAGAGAGAGCAAGCACGTACAAGGGAGGGGCAGAGAGAGAGAGGGAGACACGGAATTCGAAGCAGGCTCCAGGCTCTGAGCTGTCAGCACAGAGCCCAATGTGGGGCTCTAACTCACAAAGCAGTGAGATCATGACCTGAGCCAAAGTCGGATGCTTAACCAACTGAGCCACCTAGGTGCCCCTGTACCTTTTTTAAAAAACAAGTCTATTAAGGACAGAGTTTTATTTGTACTGTGGACAATGTTCAGAGTTAACAAAGTCCAGGAATACAATTCTCACCAACATGAGGATATAAAAACTTTCATTACCATCACTGATGTTTAGTATTTAAGAACAACTCAGTATGAAGAATCAATTCAGAAAAACATCCTACAGGCATTTAGACAACTTAAAAGCAAAAAGGTTAATTTTCACCTACAAAATATCTCAATTACTGTATAATGAGTATTGTATAATGGCTCAAATGTTGATTTCTAAGTATAGAAATGTAAGATCTCACTATGCAGAAATGTGATTCAACTGGCCCCCCCTAAACTATAGATACATGGCTCTGGGCATCTCAGTCTTTCTGGACTTCAATCTTTAGACCTGTGAAGTTGAACATTAGGCTTACACATCTAAATGTCTACTTTATGATTCTATGAACAAGTCTAAACACTCTGGTCATCTTTTAACAAGTGGTTTCTGAATCCCCTTCAATAATACAGACTTATTAGGGAAACCACATAGAACCTTTCACAGGCCAAAACACCAAAAGTAAGATATTGAGAAATACATGAATTCTTCAAAGTTAATGCAGTGCTTCAGGAAGTTAAGACTAACAAATGTGACTCTCCCTGTGTGGGCTTAATACGGCAACAAGCTAAAATAAAATTCCAATAACGCACAGAGAACCAGTAATGAGTAAAATATATTTTTTGATATTATAGAAGTGTAAAAGAAAATATAACCACATTAAAATGCTGCAGTACTATTTCCCTACCCAAGTCATCTGAAAGCTTTTTCCCACAGTGAAACTGAAGAGCATATTTCAAAGACCCAAAGTTTAATTCTTTATGAACTTCAGTAGATATACGGCGTCAGATCAAAACTGATGAAAATCAAGCATCTCCTGAGGGCTTCCTATGTGTAAGACATAATGATAACAAGAACTAACCGTTAGTGAGTGCATACTACGTCCCAGGCACTATTCTTAGTACTCTGCACATATTATCCACTTAATCCTCAAACATATATACCTATGAGGTATGTACTCTATCCTCAGTTTTAAAGATCAGGAAAATGAAGCACATAGAGGTTAAATAAATTGCCCAAGAGGACACAGAAAGTGGCAGAACTGGGCTGGGACCCCAGTAGTCTGGCTTCAGAATCCAGGCTTTTGCTACACTAATAAGTAGTTACAGGATCCATGGACATAAACACTATTCAATCCCTGGAAACACTGCATGGTACAGAAAAACAAGCTAGGAAGAAGAATCAGCCAAGTAGGAAGAGGGGCAGATTCATTTCAGAATATCACATTATGGGGGCACTTAAGAGCACACATCTACAGCAAAATCCCTCAATTTCCTCCCTGTGGGAGCCAGCCTTCAAGCTAGACCCACTGATCCGGGCCTCGGCCATTCTTGGCTTTGTGTAGTGCCCTACCTAGCACATTGTTTCAGGGTTGGTCTGTGTGACCAAAATGATATGGTAGAAGTGATGATACTCAGTACCCACACTAAGTCACAATAAGCATTGTGGCTTCCACTTTGCTCTCTCTTGGATCCCTCGTTCTAGGGGAAGTTAACTGCTGTGTCCTAAGGACACTCAAGCAGTCTGTGGAGAGGTGTTCTCATTGAGAAACCAAGGCTTCCCGCCAACAACCAGCACTAACTCACCAGCCACGTGAGTGAGCCACCTGGGAAGCAAATCCCCCCACCCCGGGAAAGTTTCTAGATGAATACAGCCTCAGCTGACTCTTGACTGACCTCATGAAAGATCATAAGCCAAAGCCCACCAGGCTAATTTTCTCCTGATTCCTTACCCACAGAAAGTGTGTGAGATAATAAACGTTTGTCATTTTAAATGACTAAGTTTTAGTGTAATTTATTACACAGCAATACCTAACTAATACACTCACTGTTTATTTTTCCTTTTCAGTAAAAGGTGGTCCTGCAAACTATCGTAAATCCTTTCATTAGAACTAGATGGGCAAGGGGCGCCTGGGTGGCGCAGTCGGTTAAGCATCCGACTTCAGCCAGGTCACGATCTCGCGGTCCGTGAATTCGAGCCCCGCATCAGGCTCTGGGCTGATGGCTCAGAGCCTGGAGCCTGTTTCCGATTCTGTGTCTCCCTCTCTCTCTGCCCCTCCCCCGTTCATGCTCTGTCTCTCTCTGTCCCAAAAATAAATAAACGTTGAAAAAAAAAATTTAAAAAAAAAAAAAAAAAAAGAACTAGATGGGCAGGGAATCGGGGAGGGGTGGGAGGGCTTGGGTAGCTCAGTTCGTTAAGTCTAATTCTTACATTTGCTTAGGCCATGATCTGATGGTTTGTGAGTTTGAGCCCTGCGGCAGGCTCTGTGCTGACAGCATGGAGACTACTTAGGATTTTCTCTCTCTCTCTCTCAAAATAAATAAGCATTAAAAAAAAAAAAAAAAAAAAAAAAAGAACCAGCTGGGGAGAAAAAAGGAAAGGAAGGAACAAAATTTGCCAGGCCCCAAAAAAAAGGACTGAAGGGAACAACACTTAGCCCTCTTCTTATTCCTTGTTTAAACTTCACACACTCTGAACATACCCCAAAAATCAAGCAGAGAAGCAGTCTCACCCCCACTCCATACCCCAGCAAGAAGGGTCAACTATACCACACATATTTTTTTGCTTTTAAACATATCCAGGGGCACCTGGGCAGCTCAGTCGGTTAAGCGTCCGACTTTGGCTCAGGTCATATCTTGCTGTTCGTGGGTTTGAGCCCCGCATCGGGCTCTGTGCTGACAACTCAGAGTCTGGAGCCTTCTTCAGATTCTGTGTCTCCCGCTCTCTCTCTCTCTCTCTCTCTCTGCCCCTGCCCCACTCACACTCTGTCTCAGTCTCTCTCAAAAATAAATAAACATTAAAAAAAAATTTTTTTTTTTTAATTTAAACATATCCAATGAAGAAAGTTACACAGAGAGTATAAACAAGAGAAAAATGCCAGCAAATTAACTTTTCCAACAATAAAATGCACTTTTCCTTATGCCACATCCCGGTCAAAAAACTACTGAAGTCCTCCATCCTACATACGACGTGAAAAGTCTGGGCCTTGGCCTGCCCAGGGGCCTTCTAGAGTCCGGAGCCATGTTTTTTTCTGTGCAACCTGACCTCCCATTCCTCCACTTAAAAGACTTGACACTCTTGCCAAAACAGACTGTTCACTGCTCCCTTCCCCCCGCCCACCCCCACACACACACTTCATTATGCTTTCTAACTCCATGACTTTGCTCATGTCTTATATCCTCTTCTGGAGGAAAAAAACACCCATTCTATTTCTCTCCTCCTATTCAATTCCCGCTCATTTTTCAAAGCCCATTCAAATCGCCAAAGAAGCTTTCCCAGACACTACCACCAACAGCAATCTTCCCTCCTTGATGACCTCACTTCACTTACTGATCTTACCACCCACACTTCCCCCTACTATTTAATTTCTTAAGAATCTCCATGTTTGCCGTATTTTATCTTGAGGGTAAAGACTGTGACTTACAGTTTTCTTCCATGTCCTCCATGGTAGTTGGCTGATGCACAGTAGTGGTCTGAAAAGAAATAACGTGTCCTCCTACTTGTTCAGGGCAGAGAAAGGTATCCTGAATTAACTTTACCTTCTGATTCAACGGAGATATAGTGTCAATGGCAGAATCAATAGGAAAAATCTGAATCCTCTGTTCTGTATAGGTGTGAAAGTTCAGTAGAGCCGTCACAAGATCTTGAACAAAAGCCAGGGCCTGCCCAGCAATGTCCCGCATCTTCAGCTTTTAAATGGAAAGTGTATAAAGTCAACTCTCCAATTACTATTCTCAAACAACTTTAGTAAGTCCCCTTTTAGAGAAAACACTTAAATTCTAGTATAATTATTCCTTAATTTAAATTTATTTGCTCCCACTTGGATTTTAATATTCCCTCCTAATTAGAATGCCACCAGTTTTAGAAAATAGACCTCTTCTGGGGCGCCTGGGTGGCGCAGTCGGTTAAGCGTCCGACTTCAGCCAGGTCACGATCTCGCGGTCCGTGAGTTCGAGCCCCGCGTCAGGCTCTGGGCTGATGGCTCAGAGCCTGGAGCCTGTCTCCGATTCTGTGTCTCCCTCTCTCTCTGCCCCTCCCCCGTTCATGCTCTGTCTCTCTCTGTCGCAAAAATAAATAAACGTTGAAAAAAAAAATTAAAAAAAAAAAAAAAAAGAAAATAGACCTCTTCCACTTAACCTAGACCATATAAGCACAAGTCCACCAACCTACAAGAAAAGTAGGACTCACAAAATTATTGCATCCCATAATTCCATTCTAAAGTTATCAGATGAGAGAGAACAAAAATCTGTATTATTTATGAATTCAATGAACAGCAGATTATGCAATTTTTTAAAAATGTATGACAAAGTGAAGCAAAAGTTAAACACATGGTTTAGTGCACTAAACAGAGGCCCAAACCGATAAATTCTTGTTTCTGAAAAGTCTGACATACACATCGCTGAAAATAAAAACATCATCATTACCTGATGTCTCCTATTGTGGAGTGGAACGTTCAGAGCGTTATACTGACTATATTCTACAAAACAAAAATGGATGCATGTTAATTCATTTTACATTTACAGAGAAGCTGCATAACTGAAAAATAAATGCTCTGCAGCAAAATCAGCTTTACATAAGAATTGTAAATGATCATAGTGTAAGAGAATAATGGAGTTTATATGGAATCAGTTGTTTCTCAGATAAAGTAAAACTTTTGATTTTTTTTAAGTATGCCTAACGTGGGGTGTGAACTCCTGACCCTGAGATCAAAAGACATATGCTCTATCCAGCCAAGCACCCCCAAATTTTTTTAACTGTAAGATAAACCCTGAGTTTCTAAGAAATATTTCCAAAACTTGAGGCCTATCAAGATTACTTAGGCCCATGATGTTCTTGCTATCTTCAGTCATGCTCCTTTCTAAAATAACCCTGCACACAGCTGCCACACCAATCATCCAAAAAATATCACTGTTTTCATGACAGTACGATATTTGACAGTCTACCACGGTCTGCTACTGCTGATCCCAACAACTCAATGCTAACTTTTCTGGGTTGGTCTCCTCATCTTTCTCACAGTCGTTGTCTCTATCCCAGACTCTGTTATCAACCTCTGTTAGCTTCACCTGGCTTCACACTTCAATCCCCGCCTCCATCTCTATGAATCTCTACAGCCACTCAAACCCTCCCTCCTCTGCCTGGTCCTTAATCAGAAAGATCTGGTGCCCAAATCCAACTCAGAAAGTCCCTATGCCGCTCTCATCCAGTTCTCTCTTACAGCCCCATTTCCACCAAGGGCTTGGTCTCCCATCCACAACTGGACTATTTCCCTATCAGTTCTCTTGGGGGCCTTGCCTGTTTTCCCTCCCAGCCTGGCCCATCATTTCCAACACTGCTCTTGCTAACATGAAAGGAGATCAGGGTCCATGACAACCTAATTTACCAAACTTAAGGGGGCCTCAGTGATACTCTGCAATCCATGACTTCATTGCTGTGTCCCTTCCCAAGGCATCTGTTCCAAACCTTTTCCATTTTAAGCCTCAAACACCATTCTCTGTCTCATCCTCTGCCCCACGGATGGGGTAGCCTCCCCCTACAACACCAGGAAGACCAGGGCCGAATACCAAAGGGTTCCTATGTTCCCTACCCTCCACCTCAGAGTCCATGGCATCACATATCCTGTCCTCAGCCAACCCTCCCCCTGGTTCCCCAGCAATAGCTCCTTCTGACTCCTCACGGCCTAGTCCATCAACCACCCCCTCTCCTCCCTACTTCTTCAAAATTACCTTCAAAAAAAGAATTTGTTGCAGCTTTTTAAACTCTATCCCCATAGTAACTTGTTCCCCTTTACCTCTATCATACTGAGTCCTCTGCCCTTACCCATCCCCTGCATACAACGCCTTCTCTTTTACTCCCAACATTTTCCATCTCCTTCATTCCCCCTGCTCAAAGTACAGCATGTCTTCCTCATGTCTGCCTATTTCCTCAGCACCCATTCACCTCTAACCCTCTGCCGGCCGTCTGGTATCCACCTCTATCCTGTGTAAAAACATTCTTCTCCAAGTCACCAAAGCAGCTGCCTTTACTGTCCATCACCCTCTATGAGCTCCCTGCCTTTACTGTCCATCACCCTCTCTGAGCTCCCTGCCTTTACTGTCCATCACCCTCTCTGAGCTCCCTACCTTTACTGTCCATCACCCTCTCTGAGCTCCCTGCAGCAATGCTACAACTTAGAACTGCTGCCCAGCACCACCAGGCTGAACACTCCCTTCCCCACCTCCCATGGCACCCCACTTCCCCAGTTTGCCATCATCTCCACTCCAGCCTCTCTCCTTCCTGATCACAGCTCTTCAAGGGTACTACACGGGCCTCTCTGCACTTTATACCCCTCATTCCCAACATTCTCAAAGCCCATTCATCCCCCCAGGGTCAACTTCAGTCTCTCTCCGAGGTCTGGGCTTTTATTAGAAATGCATACACCAATAGACAGCTAGACATACGCTGATCCGCCAGAATATTAAACAACAAAGTTAAGTTCGCCACCCCCCTCCTCCATAAACCTGCCTCTCACCTGCCTCTTTGATTTCTGTCAACAGTGCCACATCTTTCCCCCACACTGCTTCTTCACACTCCCCTGCCTGCCTGCATCTATCGCCCTGACAACTCAGGCCCCAGCCTCCATAACAGGACACCAAGACTAGCATCACAGTAGTCTTGGCCCCTTGCCCATTCCAGGGCAGTCTACACCCTTGCCAGACCAGCTCTGTGAGACCATGACATTCAAAAGCTTAAACACCTCCACTGTCTCATGAGTTACGTCCCAACTCCTTGGGTCCAGCCCCTCTCAGCCTTACAGAACTCACCCATCACTGCCCCCACCTCCCAGTCACACTTAACTAATTACTGCTCATCAGACTGCGACGGCACCTTTTATCCCACATACTACACTCCACTCAATCCCCTGGATGGTTCTCCTGCATTTCAGCCCAAAAAAACCTACTCAGGCCCAGTTCAAAGCACACTTCCTCCAAAAGACTTCCCCAAACAACCCTTTAGCAGTAATCTGTCCTTCCTCGGAAACCCCAAGAGTCTTTTCTATACATTTCTAGACACTTCTAGACATTTCTATACATTATCTCTCCCCTTCTGAACTACAAGTTCCTTCAGGGTACCCTCAGATTTCCTAGAGATTTTTGTATCCCCTGTGCTCCCTACCCACCTAGGCACTCAGCAAATGATCTCTAAATATTTCAGAACTCAAAGAAGTAACCCACAGTGACATGGTAAGGATCTAAAGTAGGTAGGGTGACAACTAGTATTGGAAAGGGAAAAATTTTAAAAAAGAGATCCAGAAGGAAATTATTAGAACCTGATGACAAATTGATACAAGGATTAAAGGGAAAATGAAATACCAAGATTTCAAGTCTAGGGGATCAAAGTATGCTAGCACTATTCACATTAATGTAGAAACTAGAAACAGGTGTTGTTTTCAGAGGACCTTAGGTTTCTGATATAATAATGACATACGCTGATTTTAGTGTTAGATCAAACTGCTGGGGTTTTTTGGTGTCTTTTGTTTCCTCTTTTCTTAGTTCTTCCAGAAGAAAAATTTAGGGGAAGTAAAAAATTTCAATCATGTAATTGTAAGAAGGGAAATCTGTACTTAATTGAATATGGGCTTCAAAATTCCAAGCAATTAAATAAAATATATTCTTCGTTTTCAAGGTTCTGATTTAATTATCTAAATGTTACAAAATTGGTACCTATTATACATGTAAGTTTTCTTTTTTTAAAAAAGTTATTTTTCTTGATATGGCTATGTAAATTACCAGACCATTCTCAGGATGAAGAGGAAGCAGGACTTACTCAACTCAGCTCTGCATCACTGAGCAGGAGATACGAGGCTGAGAAGATCCATCGCCCACTGCCCTTCCCCCACTCCCCCCACCACGAGCAACTTTTCTTACACAAATTTTCAGGTATTTTATGTGCAGGATGGTTTTTACCTTGGGATATGCTAAATATGTGCAATTAAAAAAATGTGGATTTGAGGTTTTTCCAAGAAGGCCAACTTTGGAGTCAGTCTCCCTATGAAACATGAGGGCCAAAGCTGATCAAAAAAAACAAAAAGAAAGCAATCTTGTGTTGAGCCAATGAAGTTTTTTGCCACATAGATTAAAAATGATTTTAATTCATTCATTACCAAAGACAGGTTCAAAGTTGTACATAAAGAAAAACTGTACATTAATACCTACTTGTATCATTAAAAGGTACTTTTTCACTGATGATTGATAAGGACTCCTCTAATCTACCTGACAAATCTTCATGAAGGTTCTTTAACTGTAATTGACTGAAAGAAAAAAAAAATACAAAACCACATTACTGCCAGTCAGACAGTGGATCCTCACTTCCTTGTTACCACAACAGCTGGTATCAGGCTTTCAGAGAATTGTGCCTGACACTGGGAAATGCTTGGTGGTAGACAGTTATTAAAAGATGAAGATAAGAAAAATACTAAGCCTCAATTCTGAAGCCCTTGAGACTTCTGTTGAATGACGTTGAAGACTGTCAGAATTTATCACAGTCCCAGTATCTAATAAAATCTTATCAGTTTATTTCCCCAAGTGCAAAGTAATCTTGGAGCCATTTCAAAATCACAAATTTTCTCTTTATGGCACATAAATGTTTGTTCAAGTATTACAGTAAAGTTCTTTTTTAAGTATTCTATCAGATTCGTCTTCCCCTTGGGCTCAAAATCTGATAATTTCTCTGGTTTTGATTCAATTATGAGTATAGGTATACATCTAAACCATGCATATAATTCCACCAATGCAACTAAATTGAAGAAATACACGTTGACTGATTCTGTAAAAACCTAAAATATTATGTCATTCATCAAATAAATACTGGAGTATGCTTTTACCACCCATCACTTCACCAAATTTTAAGATTTAGGTATCTCCAAATTAGATCATATAACCTCTCTTTTATTCAAAATGTACCATTAAAAGGTTGGCATAGTGATAAGGAGTCAGTTTTCCTCCCTGGGGTTATCAGAAGGCTCTCTCTTCAGCGCAGTCTGAAACAGAAAGCACCCAGTCCTCAGTACAGGAGCCCCAGAACGCGATCGGCCACGGCAGCAAACATCTGCACAGGCTGAGGACTAACGCACAAGCCACTCCACCGAGAGTGCATAAGGCCCCGGAGAGAACAGAACTGAGGAGGACCCCGGAGATGGCCTATTCCCAGCTCACTTCAAATGTGAGAAAATTGAGAGAGAAGAGTTGCTAAACCAAAACTCAGGTCTTCTGATTCTTACTTCAGGGCCCCTTGGAATTCACGTTTCCACATACCATTCTTCTGTTCGAAGCCGACATTCCTTGGCCTCCTTTTCTAGAGTCTGAGATTTTACCTGAATTTTAGAAGAAAAAGAAAAGCAGATGGCTCAGGCTATAGATGAGAGCACACTTAGGGGACACTGCAGACAAGCGCCTCCCCTTGAATGACTAACTCTGCGTTCCATCAAGTGCACAGATTAACAAGAGTCTTGACTATCTCTTAATGTGCTCTCACCAACAGTGGGGCTTACTTCTAGTTTGGCCTTGTCATTCTGCAGTTTCTCGATCGTTTCCATGTACTTCCGCGTCAGGCCATCAACCACGGCTTGGTGCTGGGCCGCCTCCATCTCCAGGGTGGCCAGTCGACTCCTCAGCTCTGCTTCCACATGCTTGTGCTGCTCATCAGCTTCAAAAAACTGAACAAAAAAGATCATTTTTATCTTTTCACGATACCCTAAATATGTACAAATGAAGAGGAAAATAACAGCAGTGACTATTCATGGAGCAATTTCCACCCGTTGCATATGCTCACTATGCAAAACCCACACAGGCAGGATCTCACAAGATCCTCACAGCAGGTCAGAGGTAGTGCTGTTATCTCTCCTTTACACTTGCGAGAACCAAAGCTTCAAGGGTCTACATAACTTGTCAAATGTAGAAACGAGATGTGAACACAGGAGATCCATGCCAAAGCCTATACCTCCTCCCTCTCAATCTCACGGATTTCTTTCAAACAACTTCTGGCACACAGAGAGAATTCAACTGACCAGGGTATAACTTTTCTGCTACGCTAACTTCCACAATTAAAAAATCCAAATTCAAATAGCTGCTATTCCTAAAACAGGTAAAACTCCTCTCCTTAATAAGATCAAAAGCTCATTTTGTTAACATTCGCAAAAAGACTGCAATAAACGCATATTTATTTTCCACCATTTCACTATGCTCACCATTTCACAAAAAATTCAGGAGGCACAGCTGGATATATTACAGTATGACTCTTAAAATATGCTGAATGTTGGGAGGCAAACACTGATTATTCAACATTCCATAAATATATGAGTGCCTGCCATGACAGAGAGAGACCCTGTCCTGGGGAAAGGCATAAAAAATGACATGGTGTGTACCGTAACAGACCTTACAGACCAACAGGTGAAGAGATACAAACCAACTAAATGGTAATAACTTAAAACAAACACTTCTTTTTGATAAGCCCTCATCTAAGTGATCCATCTCATCATTTTCTAGCTAAAATGAACAGTGCTTAGTACTGTACTGTCAAGTTATAAAGTTATTCTGCTGTCCTTCAAATAAATGCGTACTTCAAAGCACACATCAGATTAAGATATGAAAGAGATTTAAGAAGCGAATGAATGACAGTGACATATATACCTAACAACCACAGGAGACATTAAAATACATACACAAAACACTCTGTGCTGTCCTGCATTGGTTTTTCCACAGTCCAGATCATATGAGCCATCTTTTTTTTTAATTATGTTTATTTCGAGAGAGAGAGAGAGAGACAGGGTGTGAGTAAGGGAGGGGCAAAGAGAGAGGGAGACGCAGAATCCGAAGCAGGCCCCAGGCTCCGAGCTGTCAGCGCAGAACCAGACGCGGGGCTCAAACCCACAGGCCGTGAGATCATGACCTGAGCCAAAGTCAGACGCTCAACCGACTGAGCCAACCAGGCGCCCCATCATACGACCCATCTTTAAGTCATTGGAAAAACAGAAAGATTTTCTCACTTGTATATGTAACCGTTCATTCTCTTCTATCTTCTTTTGTAGATCTTCATCAAAGACACTCTTCTGCTCTTGACTCAACTGAGAAGAAGATTCTCCACTTTTCTGATGGAAAGAATAAATTATGTCCACATAACTTTCATCCTTTAGAGAAACATCCTAAGGTACACAGATTCTCTATCACCTTAGTAGCTTGTCTCTTCTATGTGTGCACCATTCTCAAACAATCCTGCAAAAGGTATACAATCCATCACTTAACTTTTCCTATTTGACACAAGTAGGAACTGCAAATATTGAAACAAGCTGAAGAGCTTAAAAAGGAGATAAAGGGAATAAAGAACAGATAAGGTTCACTATTCTTTGCAGATCAGTCTGGGAGTGGTTCTATTGGGAGACATAGCAGGCCCAGAAAGCTAGCAATAAAAACATGCTACAAAACATCATTTCGAGTTGATCTTTTGGTTTGGGAAATGACAGTTTTAATAATTGCATGAGTCTGAGTTGTTAAACTCCTTTAAGAAATTGTAATAAATCAGCATTCACAAGGACAAATTCATACAAAATTTCACATAAATATCTAATTTTTTAAAAAATATACAACCATATAAAATAAAGCTATTATAAATAAACGGAGGGAAAAAGCTCAAAAACACCTTCCTTTCCCTTTTTTACTAATGTTAACTTTTTCTACATAGAAGAATAGCACTATTTAAGAAAGCCAATAATGAACATTTGTTTTCATGGAATACAAGAGCTGAGACTATTCCAGGGATAGCCTAACAATGAAACTGTGTTCAGACATCAGTCACCACCCTTCTCTGCCTTTCTTATGCCCTCACTCCTCACTTAAAATGAAGTTACTTACTGATCCAATGTGAGCCAATGACTGGAAAGCCCTTTGAAAATGGAGTAGCTTTATTAAAAATAAAACATTAAATATCCATTATGTTGGGACACGAGAGCTGCACAAAGCAAGACTGCCGAATGACATATTCTGGGTCACAATGCTTCCCAAGTTGGAAAGCTTTAATTAACATTAATTCAGAATTGTTACACCCAAACCTCTGCGAAAACATCCCTGGGAGGGGATCTCGCCAACCTGGGGAGGCTGTTTGAACAACCAACATATGGTTGTTCCTTCCCCAAGGAATCTCCAGAGCATGCGTATCTTGACAAAATTTCCCAAGTGATTCTAATAGATACCTGCCTACACTCTCTCTGTTCTCCATTTATTTGAAAATTACCACTCTAGAGAATTCTTTCATGTAGAGGAAATGTGTATGGAAAGGTACTAACGTATAATTCTGTTGATTGCCTATCATATGGCAAAAACAGTTCTAGCCACCTTTACAGAATCCCATTTACTACTCAACAAACCTGAGAGTACCATCCCCACTTTGCTGATAAGAAAACTGAGGTTGCAAGACTAAAATGACAGATGAAGAATTCAAGCATGGGCTTAACTCCAAAGCCTGTGCCCTTCCCTCCACACCACACTGCTTCAGAGTTGCTATGTGCCTTCTTCTTCCCTCCCATCCTTCTACTCTTACTGCCTCAAGCCATACGTTTGCCAGGTGCCGCTCTACATACACACAAGACTTAAAGATTCAATCACTAGCCCCAACTCTTCAAAAAAAATGCAACTTCTTAGTCACAGAGTGCTCCAAAGTACCAGACCACCCATCTCATGGCAATGAGAATCTTGTCTCACTATACAAACCATAATGGAAAAAGTTTACTTTTACATGACCACACAAGAATCCTAAATTGGCCTCCTAAGAATAAATACTAAGAAATATCTGCAGCAAACTTACAAGCATAAGGAATGAGTATTTCGACTGCTACTTTCACATGAGCTGTTACACTTTAACACAGTCTCACATTTGATTTGCCCTACCTTGAGTTAATAGCGACTTAAGTGTAACTGAAAGCAGTAAATTTGACCAGTATATACATAAATATATATATAAACAGCAAATGTCTGCTTCCTTGACCCGACATCCAGCCATAATAATGGAAAATTAGGGAATGTGGAGATGAGGTGTTCTGTTAAAACCCAGATGGCCTGTAGATGTCTGTACCTCGCAGACAAGGTCTCACCAACTTGCTTGTATTTGACCTACCTTGTTTTTCTTGCCTCGGGGTTCACTTACAGCCAATTCATCTTGAAGTAGTTCTACCCTCTTGGCAAGCTGCAGATTTCGAAATGTCAAACTGTCCATTTCTTGCTGCAGTTTTCTCAATGACTGATCCTTCATTTTCAGTTGTTCCTACATCCAAGTGAAAACAGACCATTCCTTACAATTTCACCTTAAGGTTTAGAGATAATGAAATTATTTTTGTTTCACTAAAATATTAAAACCTCTTGCTGTAGGGAATTCACGTTGTATGTTTATCATGCCAGTTCCATGTTTTCAGCTATTTGGTGACAAAAATCACTTTTTTTGGCCAAACCAAGTTAAATTTAAAAATAAAAATAAAAATAAAGCATATATATTGAAGTAACAGACAGTCATCAACTTAAAGTAAAATACCTACAACTGTATGTTGTTCCATAATGTTGTTGCGTATGTGTCTGGCAGTGAGGAGGCACAAAGCCTGAGGCTACAATTTTATAAACTTGAAATGTGAGAGAGAACTTCATACTCACTGATGATGCCCTTCAGTAAGAATGGGAAGCAATTTATTTGCATTCATTTTTTTCCCCATAAATCCGCCCTGAATTTAAGTCAGCCAAAATGAAGTCTTTCCAACACACTGTGATTTCTCAGGTCAAAAATCAGTATTATCCTAACATGAGAATATTTTTAGATGCTGTTTGCCCTACATCAACTACTTTAAAGTTTTAAGTGAAAATAGAAACAAAATCTATATTTTAAACAACATATATTTCGCTGCCCATTCTGAACTGTTTATACTATAATGGGGTAAGAAAATGGAAAGCTAGGGAAATACTTAGCTTCACTCTATTTTTAAAAAAATATTATTCTCACTAACTTTACTTATGACATTCTGACAACTTTGTGTTCACTGGTTATCGAACACAGATGACCAAATACTACTGCATATTTCAAGATGTGTAGGTTTATTACTTTCACTGAAAAACCACTGCAATGCTAAGATGAGGTCAAGCTCAAATGATAAACTAATATAAGTATACTGCAACAGCAACCTAGAAACCAAAGTCTGGTATCTGCAACCTACTGACATTATTTGCATGTTGAGAGCAGCCAGAGTGATAGAATAATGTTTCCATTAAGTAGAGAAACAATTTTTCTTTTCTATTGATTGTTAGTAAGCCCTTAATTATTTTTTTAGGTAAACTATGCTCCATGTGGGGCTCAAACTCATGACCCTATGATCATGATATGGAACTCCTGACTGTGTGTATGCTCTACTAACTGATCCAGCCAAGCGCCCCTTACTCAGTAAGCCCTTAATTTTTGCTTGCGGTTTAATGCTAAACATAGACCTGCCCATATCCAAATTATCATATATTTCAAATTAAAGAAATCCAAATCAAGGAATGCTGACAGTATCTAACAACTCACTGAAGAGGCAAACCCAATATTATCAAAAGCATGCTGTAACAGAAGACATCCTAATATTCCCATTGAGCAAACCAGCAAATTGCCATTCTTACTATAACTATAATGACCACTACAATGAATAGTAAAACAGTTATTTCTTTACATCCTTACAATTAATCACCTCTGACTAATGCTTCAACTCCATTAACCAATCATCAATTTCAAAAGACAGCTATTTCAACCTCTCTGTACACCCTAGTTTCTGCAATGGGAGATGATGATAATGTTATCTGCCTTCACAGAGTTGTGTGAAGACTAAATGACAGAGCAGATGTAATGTGCTTGGCACGATGCCTGTTACACAGTGAGAATTCAATAGTCACCATCACCAATGTCACCACCACTGCCACCACTGTAGAGTTAACCAAACAACCAGCAATGGGATGCTGTCATATGCCACAGTGGGCTATTAAGACACTCCAGGAAATATCTTCCCCAGTTTTAAACATCATCAAGAGAGAGGCAGCCTGGGTGGCTCAGTCATTTAAGCGTCTTACTTCGGCTCAGGTCATGATCTCGTGGTTCATGAGTCTGAGCCCCACATCAGGCTCCTTACTGATGGGCACATCCTGCTTGGAATTCTCTCTCCTTCTCCCTCTCTCTTTGCTGCACTCTCTCTCTCTCAAAATAAATTTAAAAACCTAAAATAAATAAATAAACACCTTTAAGAGAGGTAATGATCACTTCTTCAATGATTTAGGCAAAATAATAACTTGACTAACAAATCCTAACTATAAAGCTCATGCTTACTAATCTTGGCTTGGGCGCAGACAGCTTCGGAAGTATGGGTACGGTGTTCTGAGCTGCCTCAGCACTGTCAACGGCACCTGAGGATGGGGCACTCTCAAGGCAGAATTCTCTAGGGTAGGGTCCAACACTATAAGTAAAAGTACATATTTCTGAGTTACCCACGTGGAACCACCCAGGATACGTCACTGGTTGGAGGCTACTCCAGGAAGAAATAAGAGTAAAGGGAATCCTAATTACCTTTTGTCTAAAAATCAGGCAAGGGAGTGAAGAATGACATAGACAGTATATTTAACTGAAACAGGCCATGAAGAAATCTATATTCTAGAATTAATTTATTCTAGATATTCTAATTAAAAATATCACTAATCAGGGGCCCCAGGGTGGCTCAGTTGGTTGAGCATCCAACTTTGGCTCAGGTCATGATCCTGCAATCTGTGAGTTCAAGCCCAAATCGGGCTCTGTGCTGACAGCTCAGAGCCTGGAGCCTGCTTCAGATTCTGTGTCTCCCTCTCTCTCTGCCCCTCCCCTGATCACACTCTGTCTCCCTATCTCTCTCAAAAATAAATAAACATTAAAAAATTAAAAAATATATATCACTAAGCAATATTTATGACATGCCTACTAGAATGAGGCAGAAACAAATTCCTTCATCTCCTATTATATTTCTCCCCTCAGTGAACAAAGATGCTGATGATAAAATGTATCACTCAGAGTAACCTGATTTACAGAGGTTATTACTATGAAATACCTCAACCCAAAAGCAAGATCAATGGACTAAATGGTTCACACTTTCAAATCCATTTATTAGGGGACAACCATCTGCTGAATGCTGGGCATATAAATGTGAATAGGACACAGACCCCCTCAGAGTGCTATCTAGTGATGAAGACATATAAGAAGCCCCATTAATTCAGATAAATTTAGCTAAAGAGAGGCCATGAGGTATAAGGGAAAGCATGAGATAAAGTCAAATGATACTTTTTTATACTTTTTAGCAAGGAAATCAAAGTGCATCACGTTCATTACCTAAGCAAGTAGGAAAGTTAAATACAAAAAACTATATTACCTTCTCCTATCCCTAGTGAATCAGTGTCATTGTTGAGACCTTAACCAGAAAACCAGCTGAATTCCTTGCATTGAGTATCGCCCAACAATGACTTACCCTCATAGTACAAATATGAAACAGGCTTCTTACCTTTAAAGCAGCAGAATTCGCTTGTTCATCCACAACACCTTTTTTCAGGACCTGATTCTGAGCCCGAAGCTGAAAACAGAGGAAGCAATAATTAATTTTTAATATAAAGCAATAGCAAGGAAATCATTTACCATTACTTCACAGGATCATTACACTGAGTAACTCTCTTCCCACATACATATGAAAATAGAAATATTTGCCCGGAAGAGGATAGTAGATATCATCATTCTGTCATTTCCTCAGATAAGGCACAGAGGCTGAGCTGCCCAATGATGTAATACTAATCAGTGGCAAAATTGAGACTAAAATCCAGTTCTCTTGACTTCCACCCAGTACATGGTTCTTTCTATAAAACCAAGTCGCTTCTTAAAAAAAAAACAACAAAAAAAAAACAATAAACTAAGTACTAATACAATAAACTAATATTAAAACTAATAGAAAGTAATACAATAAATAATAGGGTACTGTGTATGCCATTTTCCTTGAACCTCTGGCACACATTCATTTGTAAAATGCATACATTAGGACTACTTATGAAACCCCACAGAAAATCCAAGTGTAGGGCGTTAAAGATGCCCAGCAGGATACTGTGCCTAATATTAGTCATGCAAATATCATCACCCACAATAGGTACTCTTGCAATAAGGCACCAGCTAAGGTAGTATATGAAAGCAACTAAGAAGCAGACTCAATCCAGAAGTCAGTAATAGCAGCTAACATCTGAAAGTTCATTATATACCAGGCACTGTCCTAAATGCTTTACATGTATCACTTCATTAATCCTTACAACCTTATGAAGTAGGTACTATAATTATGTCCATTTTACAGATGAGCAAACTGAAGTACAGAGAAGTTAAGTAGCTATGCTGAAATACAGACCCCAGCAGTTTTTACTCCAGAATCATGATGCCATTAGACAATATTGGTTACCATTTTCTAAAGCTACATATAAATGAGAAAAGAAGTGGGCAGGAGAAGTTGGGGGAGTCTCTGAAGAGGTAGGACTTGGGCTTTATTTTTTTAATTGAAGTATAACTGTTTTTTTTTTTTTAATTTTTTTAATGTTTGTTTATTTTTGAGAGAGAGAGAGACAGAGTGCAAACAGGGGAGGGGTAGAAAGAGAGGGAGACACAGAATCTGAGGCAGGCTCCAGGCTCTGAGCTGTCAGCACAACTCAAATGTGGAGCTTGAACTCACAGACCATGAGATCATAACCTGAGCTGAAGTCAGGCGCTTAACCGACTGAGCCACCTGGGTGCCCCCAACTGTATTTTAAATAAAGCAAACCAATCAAGAATTATGCAGCTAAATGAATTTTCCTTATGTATACCTCTATATAACCACTACTTACAGGGTTTTAAAAGACAAAATCTCCTTCTATAGTAAACAGAAAGTTCTCAGCAAAGATAATGCTGAGCATATAGATATAAATACAGAAGGCCAATGTAGCCAAAGCAAAAGGTTTACAGACTAATAATCTAACGGTGCAGTAGGGAGACAATGGAAGACTTTCTCTGAGAAAAAGAATGCATGGGATGATTTTATCTGTGCGCTTAAAAAAAATCTACTTCTACATAACTCAGATCTGTCTCCTGAGAACAGAAGTGACCCTTCTCTGCGCCAAAAAAAAGGAATATCTGAATACTAAATCTTAAACTGAGTATGTGAAACTCATTAGAAAATTTAGCTAAGAATTCAAGAAGAAAAGCAGGAATACTACAGGATATTCAACAGCTTGAGCAAAATGCAGATTTAAAAAAATAAGCTTTTCTATTTTTAGAAAGTTAAAGATACAGTTCACTACCACGACAGAAAGAAGGCCCAAATCTTGCTCTGCCAAACAGTAGACAATACAAACTTGAAAAATTCACTTAACCATTCTGAATCTCAGTTAAATGGTCTATAACATGGGTGAATACAGCTACCCTATCTTCTTTCTTCTGACGTTGTTGTGAGAACCAGAAAAAGAAACTTACATGAAAACACTTTCTAAATCTTAAAAAGTCCCCACGAATGGAAACAGAACTTTTTTTTTTTTTAATGTTTACTTATTTTTTTTTTTTAATTTTTTTTTCAACGTGTATTTATTTTTGGGACAGAGAGAGACAGAGCATGAACGGGGGAGGGGCAGAGAGAGAGGGAGACACAGAATCGGAAACAGGTTCCAGGCTCTGAGCCATCAGCCCAGAGCCTGATGCGGGGCTCGAACCCACGGGCCGCGAGATCGTGACCTGGCTGAAGTCGGACGCTTAACCGACTGCGCCACCCAGGCGCCCCAATGTTTACTTATTTTTGAGAGAGTGCAAGCAGGGCAGGGGCAGAGAGAGAGGGAGACGCAGAATCTGCAGCAGGCTGCAGGCTCTGAGTCGTCAGCACAGAGCCCGACATGGAGCTCGAACCCACGAATCATGAGATCACAACCTGAGCCAAAGTCAGATATTTAACCGACTGAGCCACCCAAGAGCCCCAAAACAGAACTCTCATTACTAGAATGAATCAGAAGGATAACAGATAACATTTATGAAAGCTTGCCTGGTATAAGGCATTGTGCTAAATGATATGGTGGAAAGAAGTGGTCTGCAAAGAGCTTACAACTTAAAAGGCTCAATGAAAGATAACTAGCAGGACTTACTAGAACTTCACTTCCCTACAAGAAGGATTGGCAAGGGGCGCCTGGGTGGCGCAGTCGGTTAAGCATCCGACTTCAGCCAGGTCACGATCTCGCGGTCCGTGAGTTCGAGCCCCGCGTTGGGCTCTGGGCTGACAGCTCAGAGCCTGGAGCCTGTTTCGGATTCTGTGTCTCCCTCTCTCTCTGCCCCTCCCCCGTTCATGCTCTGTCTCTCTCTGTCCCAAAAATAAATAAATGTTGAAA